TTTATTTTCTGCCTTCCCGCAGTCTGTATAACTCATGTTCGCTGCTCCGTAGTATTTTCTAGTATTCTAAAATGCGCCTCCATTTTACATTGTATTATAGGCTGCAGATTGAACTCACTGTGCTACGTGATGTCTGAAGGATATACTTCCAAAGAATTTTTTATGTTCTGCAAATAAAAGGATGTCTTAAGAATTAAGCTAATTTTGTTAAGTAAAAATTCCATTTATCTACGCCGCAGTTTTTTCAGCCATGATGAAAACCTGGATTGTAGTCAAGCTTGTAAGGTCCTAAGTTTTACTAACATTTATTTTATTTTAAAACTGTACTATCACTTCTTATTTTCTACTTCCGGCCAGAATTAAATGCTTTAACTTGTTAATGCAAATTGTCTTGCTAACGCCCAAGTACTTAAGTTGTGACTTTTTGCCAAGCCGGAGAGAGAAGGAGTTTTAGGAAGCAAACCGCTTGCCACTGAAGTTTTACGAGTTTTCACTCGGTTGCTGATTGCCTTGAAGGCCAGAGGTTTAGCCCTCTTGATATTTGCAGACGTATCGTAGTTTCAGCAGCTCGGCGTACTACATACGTACCTTTTTTATATAAAGGCCAGTCTTAGTGCTAGGCATTTGTATACTAATTTAAAGTTAGCTTTTTAGTTAGAGTTTTAGTTAGTAGTTTTTATATTCTTATGTTCAGACCACAAGTGGTTGGTCTCTGTATTCCGAAGTTCGGAAGTGCCTGTAGAAGATTGAAAATAAAGGGTTTCGTATACTCTTCCTGCTTGTGTTGTCTACTTCATACCTTCTTGAACATAGCTTGAGTAAGCTCCCTGTTCCTATTCAGGATCATTCATGTTTCTAATGCAAATCAAGAGACACACAAGTCCTGACAAGCTGTCATCTAATATCAGGTTATAACTAAATATAGCATCACATCTGTATGTAAGATAAAAAAAAATGCAAATCAGCATTATAATTTAAAATGCCTCTTAATTGCTCATTTTTAATTTGGGTTCTTTGTCTCTAGTAATAACTTTCTCTAAACTGCGTCATATCTGAAAACGTATTCCGCATTATGTCATCTTGAAACTTCTGCAATGCCTATAAGTTTTAGCCAATTAGATTAACGAAAAATTTTACTATAAATATTGTTGCAATCCTCCCTCACCCTCTTTCTCTGTTTGTGCTTGCTGGCTGAAGGACGTCTCTTGCTTTAATGCTTTTGTTTAAAATGTAATGCACCATCATCAAAATTGTGGGGTGCAGATTGCCCCTCCCACTGTGAAGTGCCTCAAGTAATAAAGGTATATTTGGAATATCAAGTGATTTTTGTGATTCTTCAAAAGTTCCCGACTGCCAAACTAAATTTTATTATCACAGGTATATGTATTGATATTCTCACAAATGTTGATAATTTTTATAAAAACTCAGGCAGGACTCTGTGTTAATGACTGAATATTTTGAATTATGATACTTTTCTCTCGCAGCTCTACAAAAGGCCTGATTTATTTTCCATTATATAAATTAGTGGAGACCCATTCTTCTTAAGGTACGTCGTAACTTAATACCTTCCATTAATTTATCTCCATGCAGTGTAACACAATCAAAGTTAAATGCACAAGTGGAGCGACAGTAATTCATTTAACAGTCCCATCTCAAAATCGAGACAGAAATACTTGCAAAAACTCCATGATTTCTAAATACATACTATATAGTAAGCAAAGAATAAAGGGATCTCTATAAAAGATCTTAAGAATTAGAAAAACTATACATGTCTGCTCATAACGCATCTAATCCTATAAGCATTCATTTAATATACCTAGTACATGCATTATCTACTGGAAATTTATTAGCATAATTTTGTCTCACAGACAATGTTAAAATCTTATGTTTTTCTTTCTCCTAAAGAAGCTGCTGAATCTTTGTAGTGAGAAATAAAATCGGGATTTTTCTTATACTCAAGCTCAGCATTCCTCAGCAGATGTGTCAGCCATAACACTAAATAAATATCCATGAAAGCTTTGGCTTTATTACTTGCAACCTGAATTTCAAAGAAGCTCGGTAGAATTTCAGAATATGAAGACTTAATTTCCTCTGTATACTGATTTTTTATCAATATTAGTCTTATATTACGCTTTGTTCAGATATAGCATCCATCGTAACGGCAAGCCTTCTTTTTTCAGTTCTCACTTGACTTTTGGTAGATGACCAAAAGTCAATTAAGAACTTGGTAGATGCTTGGGACCAAAAGTCAATTAAGAACTTTGTAGATACTATTGGGACCAAAAGTCAAGAGTCGGGAGACCTTCTGACTAACCAACGGCTTTATTAGCTACAAACTTTACTTTTTTGAAGTTAGATATCTTTTTCAAAGAGTTTTTCCAGACGTTTGGGAGGCTGTCACATTAACTTGCGCAAGCATATAATTTATCATCTACGAAACATAGCAATTATTCCCATTGCTTTTGGTTACGGAAAAGCAGGCAAGGACTACTTGCTTAAGGGTAAGAACGGCTTCGTGAACGAAGTTTTAAAAGACTTGTGTTTACCTTACAAATAAGGGACAAACAAGAAACTACCCATGGAACCACATGCTGCCGGAGTTCAAACCCGAGTCGAACAGACAAATTCTTTACTGCCAGGTAGTGTGATTTTAAGTTAATTTAAATCTAAACTTTAACTGCATTACCGTGAAACTAATATTTCCAAAGCAATTATCGCAGCTCTTAATTTCTTTTATATTTTATTCATGCATATAGCTAACACAGAGTACGTTTAATTATAAGTACATTTAATTTATAACATATGATATGATATTATATGTGTATTTACGTTATTTTGAAAATTTACGAAAGCGTTTTAAATAACAATAGTGAATAATAAAATAATTTTAAATAAGAAATATTGTCAAAAACTATTTCTATCATCATACATTACGTATTTCCGTACGGAATCACTTGGTTATTGTTCTAATTAAATTTTCATTTTCTATTACGTATCTGCCTATTAATGCAATCGAAATAATCTCTTTTCTTTTTTTTATCCCAAAGGGCCAATTTGCCCAGATGGGCTATTAATTTCGTTTTTGGCATTTTGCGTCGTTCACTATAAAACTGCGCTTCACTTTTCAAATTGTTCTCACCAAATATTAGATCCCTGCATTATATTTAAAGAAATTGAATAATGTATAATCTGCATGAACGTATGTATGTTTCTCCCATTGTAAAAAATACTGCGGTACCCAAAGACATCAAATTTTGAACAACGTAGTCCTCCACTGGAATATAGGCATCTGGAAGCTCAAATTTGGAACATGTATTATTAGCTGTTTCACATTTTGTAAAATCTTGACGAATTTCTGATTAACAAACTCGAAGATTTCAAAGTGTGCCATGGCAATACTGTACGGTAAAAAGTATTTTTATCTCCAGCTTGAGAGACTGTATATCAGAAATTCTAATGATATGCTCTTTTTAAATATTCTGTCATATTGCTGTTGAATCGAATTTTGTGGTTTCAGGGTGAAAAACATGGCATTTAATAAGTAAAGGTAACACACGAAACGGTAAGAAAACGCCCCTTTCGGCGTAATAGATTTTTTCAATATATGTTATATTACTTTTAGTTAGATTATATTTATACGTAACTTTGACGACTGATTTATTTCTGTTTAACCACGTGTGTATTTGGCTGAAAGACTTCTAAATTGTTACGTACTTTGTAACAATATAGAAATCTTTCAGCATAATTACATAGACAAATAATTTTAGTGAAATTATACGTGAATTTTTTCCCATGATGTAACAGGAAAATGTAAAGAGACAATGCTACTGCCGGAGGAATAAGAATATAGGGCAAGTCTATTTAAGATTGACTAAATGACTATCTCGCTAAATTGGCGAGATATCACGAAGCTGGCGATGGTTTGGCTACTAAATTTTGTCGGCAAATCCGGGGAGTAGTCGACATTTTGGTCGGTTCTTGTATCACCATAATAGATATTGTAACTTAATTCCGGTAATTCACGTTCTGTGTAAATGTAACCGTACTCGGCCCTCATATACCTTCCAGTGATTTCGAGAAGCAAAAAGTACTAGAAATATCTCGTCGGCCGAATGAAAAATATATAATATCGGACAGAGCAGAATTTTCTTAATTGCTATTTGTTGTTAGTTCAGCTTGAGTTAGTATACTGAGATATCTTCGTGTTACCTTCGCTCTTTAGATGCGCTTTGCATTGGGTTGTGTTTGACGTTTTTAGTAGTTTGAAGTATAACTACTGATTTTACTCTGTGATAGTCGAGTCGTAAGACTATTTTTGTGGGAAGATGCAGAACTGTGAAGTGTTCCTTTTGGTAAAAATAAATTTTATCATCGGTTCTGTAGTCATTAAATCTATTATGAACCCGCAAGCCCGCAAGAATATGTTTATGAATTACTATATTGGAAAGTTGAAACAAAATGTGTATAAATTGCCTTCTTTCTAACCTTTTAAATGCACTGACCTTTTTCATGAAAAAATAAAATTGTTTAATAATGATAAAAAAATCTGAACTAAAAAGTGTTTTGTTTTTGTAACAGGTGCATTTTTCTTGGTTTGAAATATGTTTTAGAAATATTAGCATCGCATACTATTGAATGAAATAACGTTCCAGCTAAAATACATCATCATCTATTAAAATATTCTTCCGAAATGTTATATATTTTAACTTGCAGCAAAAAAAGACATATATTACAACACCGAAAGATGTGGCAACAGATGCAGAATATGCTCATAACAATACTGTTTTAAGAAGCATAATATTTAAACAGTGATCATTTATTTCTCTTTAAAAGAAGACTTATTGTAAAACTCTAAATAATGAAGTATTACTCTGATAATATTTTCAGTAATATGATAACAGTTTGACCTTGACATAATTATCTTCCATATTTGATAAATATTATCGACTATCTTAAGAAGTTCTTATCGGATTTACTGTATAAAAGTATAACAGGGATGAGAAACTACCTTTTCTCTTCTCCGCATCAGCATCTGCTATTATAAAAATGGCGTGCTTATTTTTTCTGACCCTTGCAGCTTCATTGGTTTATCTCGCTTCAGGAGATTTTGATGGTAAGGAACGTATGAGTTTTCTATTTGTAATTCTAATCAGTCTTCTAATGCAATTTATCTTGAAACGTGTTTCTGAGTCACTGCAGCAACCCTCAGATTATTTGAATTTCATCTATTTTTCGATTGATTTGAAATTTAGAATCAAATTACATTATGATTGTGAGAATAAAATAAGCGTGTAAAACACAATTTCGTGATATTTTATTTTTTTAAAGTTATGTTAACTCGTTGAATTTCTGATCTAAATTTATTGTGATTTTCTTGGGAACAAAGCCGGAGATCAACACACAATTTCTGTTTGAGTGTACAGCAAAGTTTATGTTATTACCCGTCGCAAATTCCAGCAAACGAAAATTAGGCATAAATAGATAAACATCAGATTGTTTCCTACACAGTTCCGCTACAGAATGCTAAAACATAGTACCAGAAGTTTGCTTTCTTCTTAATTGTTACACATTTCTGTTGACAAAATATGTAAGCACATTTTGTCAACTAGAAACAAACTAGTTGCTTTTAATTACAAAATTTTGAATATATTTAGTTACAACACTGGTTTGCTCTCAAATAAGAAATTCAAAACATAGTGGGAAGTGAAACATGCAGTTGTGTTTGGGAAAATAATTCATCTTATTCCAACTGTGAACTTTGACCAAAAGCGAACTTCCAGTCTTATTACGCACTGTCGACATTTTATGGGATAGCCAAGAATATTGTTCTCCAGTGGATTTCCTCCCATTGTAGCATTTATGGTAACGAGATGGCGGATGAATTGACAAAGAGAGCCATTAATATCACCCAAGCCTCGTAGAGTACAGTTGACTAGAGATCAGCTGCAGATCAGTTGACTATAGATCTTCAGAGGCTTGAATTGAAAACAAACAAAAAAAAAAAAAAATTGGCTAAAACCATGGCATTTTTTTATTCTCTGGTTACCGGAACGCCCAGAATATCAGCTAACTCGCGACAGGCCATAATTGTCTTTCCGCTCATTTTCACCGAATCAATATCCTGAGTAGTCCCTATGCCCACTATGCCGTGATGCTGAACTGATAGATGCTTACCACTTTCTTAAGCGCCCGGTGCTTTGCGATTCCTCTGTTTTCTCCCATTATTGACAAGCTATAGAACTTCTGTGTGCATATACTTAATTCTATATTTTGTATTGTATATTTCGTTATGTGTTTCTGCCCATGGATAAAGGCTTTACACCTGCTGTATTGGAAATAATACATTTGGAAAAACGCAATCGTCTTGATTATCTAGGGTAAATGGATTTTAGATTTTGAAGATAATTATTTACTACTGCTGTATGCCAGTATACCTTTATAAATGACTTCGATATTCATTATTAATTTTTTCATAGCTAAGCACTTTTTTATCTTAAAATCGAAAATGTCTTGCGTTTTAAAAAAATCTCAGTCTTATAAAAACAGCTCTCACAAGCATGCACTAGCTTCACTAAACTTATTTTCACTTTAATGGTAATGTATATGATTTCGTATATCTCCAGAGGACAATACTTGCGATATCCTAAATTATTCCAACATGTATATGAAAACCTCTTATCTTATGAAGTTTAATTCTTTTGTTTCAAATTTTATATGTTTTTATAAAAACGGGTGTTACAATGTATTTACCTGTTCAGTGTTTATTCTTTTACTTATTTATTTAATTTAATTACATAATTTGAATTTTAATACAAAGTGTTCTGGTTTCTTATGAAACCTTAATATATTCTACAGTCTATATTTGTCATCTCAGGGATATAAGCAACAATATGTATTAATAATTCATTAAATTACTCACACATATTCTTTTCAGGTCATAATAAGTTGTAGTGTCATATTTGTTATATTGAAAGGAAAAAATACTGAGAACTATTTGTTACTCGCATAAGACTCTATATGTTACTTTGCATATTTTGCCGAGGAAAGGTAATAAACTTCAGTCAATAGAATAAAAAAAAGTAAAAGGTTTTCATTTGTTAAATTCATTTGCAAATGTTATGAATGCAATATGTTGTAAATTCATCACTCCATATGTCTGTGAATATTTCATGAATCAATAAATAATGCTTGCAGCTTAATTCGTACAAGAAATCATAATATTCTAAAAGAATAAACCAATTTAAGTAAAAGTACAAATACGGAAAGAATTTTGCTTGTGAAAAGCTAAGTATTCATAACAAAACTTCTTTTCTAAATCTAAACATATTAGTCCAAAATGGCATTACCCGGAATGAGCTACTACTCTCGAAACAGGATTCTGCATCTTCCACTATAAACGGCTGTAGCACTTTTAATATTGTTGCCACCAAATATTATCCCCCTGTATTGTTTTTAACGAAATTAAATAATGAAGCGTCTGCATATATGTGTATATTTTCTTCGCTTTGTGAAAAAACGACGGTACCTGGAGCCATCAAATTTTGAATAGCGTAGTCCTCCCCCCCCCACCAAGCATATGCATCCGGAAGCACGAATGTCTTATTTCGAATTTTATAAAATTTAAATGAATTAACAAATTGAGTGATTTGAAAGCAGACAGCGGCGACACTACGGATAAAATATTTTAGCTCAAGAAATTTATTTTATCGGAAATTCTAAAGATATTCGCTTTTTAAATATTTTGTGATTTTGCTCTTGAATTTCTTGTGGCGTAAGTGCGAAGAACAGGATATTTAATTAATAATATTAAAACGCTATACTTTAATAATAAAAAACGAAACGTTTTGCAAGCCATCTTATTGAAAAATGGACATCGTTATAAAGAACTGAGAAAAGACTGAAGATATTTTTTAAATTATGCCAAAAACACTGCATCCGGAATTCGAAACCTATGCTGCTTTTAAAATTTTTGTAATTTTGCTGTTGAACTGCATATGGCTTAAGTGCGAAGAAAATGATGCTTTGTAATAAAACTAAACTGATAAAAAGAAATGGGTTAGCAGGAATGCGGGCAACAGTAGACAGGTAGTCTACGAGCTCAGCAAGAACGCGTGGAAAAAAAATTAAATTAAATCTAAAAATTAAATCTAAATCCGTTAAAATCTAAACCCTTTCGGATTTTTTTTCTCTACTTCTTTTATGTGCATTTTTTTCAAAAGTTGTTTAATATGAAATTTTAAATCAATTATTTATTAAAATACATCATTTTTGAAGTAATTAATTACATTATTTTTTTCCTCTGGGTTTCTTTCAGTTATTAGCCACCTGACTAGGAACAAATGCATGACTGACTTGGGATGCTTTAACGCTGGTCCTCCCTTTTTTGATTTGATTGAGAGACCTTTGAGTTTGTTGCCAGAGGATAGAGAATCCATTAACACGAAGTTTTTCCTTTACACTAGGAGTAACCACGACACACCGAGAAATTTCAGCAACATGGATTTCAGCACAGATGATTTGCATTTGAGCATGTTCAGTCCAAACGCTAGAACCAAGTTTATTGTTCCTGGTTACATAAGCAGGACATCAGAACAGTGGAAAATAGTAAATAAGATATTTCTTCCATTTTAACATCAACATGCTAATTTGAAATTTAACACGTTAACTGATAAATTTTAGGTTACTTTTTAAAGATATAGAACTTTTATGAAGGACGACTGAGAACGACATTCAAATTTTAAGTTAATGGAATATTTCTAAGATCATTCAAAATTCCAAGCTCATGGAATAATATATAAGGTAAATGGATTTGCAGCAACTAGAAATGTAGTATTCCATGGGTATCTTGAAACAGTCTTGAAGTGGCACGAGAGTAGCCAACCGTTTTGTCATCTCATGCAACTTTTTTAACCTAGGTTATCTGTCTCTAGTTTTCTTCACCAAATCTGTTATGCAGGTTATAGCACTTAAATACACATTAATTTACCACTGTTCTCCACCGATTACTATTCATATATTATTTTCCGTTATTAAATTACTCGAGAGTATTGTAAAAAATAACATATAATTTCTTAGCATGTTAGGTCCCAATCACATTAGGGTTCGTCTACGCATGACAAGGACAATTCTCAGAACCCGCACATTTCCAGGAAACCGATGTAGCTAGGTTACCATTTTCACTTGCTACAAAGACTTGAAAGCCAAACAGTTATCGATTATCGCTCAGACTGGGATCACGTGATCCTTCAGAAGCAGAATTTTCGTCTGATTGGTTGATCTGTACCCGGGATAGAGCTCCAGCCGACACATTTCCGGCGAGGTTTGAAAAAATCCCGCATAACCGCAATATCGTTTCCGTAGCTAGGCGGAGCTTCGCTTCCAGCGGGGCTCTTTTTTCTAGGAATCCTCCCAGTGCTACCAGAAACTTGTTTCTTAGAAAAGTCTCGTCTAGCAAGGACTGTCGCCAGATGTGATAATCTCCATGCGGAGTATTAACGTTTCTTACATGCATTTCAAAATACCTTTGCCCTAATACCCTTCTAACAGATAGTTATTTAAATTAATAATTTAATACGGTAGTAGTATGTATTTCCATGAGCGTTGACTTTTGCTGGAACAGATAAGCTGTTTGTTAAACATTATACTGTAAATATTATTTCGATCATTAACAATTTCTCAGTTTATGATTTAAAAACCCTTTTTTGTAATTTAGAAGTTAAAAATAAAACCTTATATTTGAATTAAATGTTAAAAATTTTATTTTCCTTTTTCATGTTCTTTTTATGTGTGGGTGTGTGTGATTAATAAATTTCCGACTGTTTTCTTTCTTTTTAAGCTAAGACCGATAGTAATTTTGTCTTTTCTTAATTGTTTTTGTATATGTTTACATTTCATAGCCACTTAAAGACGCCCTCTTGTTTACTGAAGATTGTAATGTATTTCTTGTTGACTGGTCTGGAGGAGATGGACCACTTTACGAGCAAGCTGTTGCCAATACCAGGGTCGTTGGTGCTGAACTTGCACTTTTTATTAAAACTTTGCAAGTAAGACGTTTTTCCTTTTTCCTAGTTTTTTTTAAAAAGAATAATTAAAATTTGGTAGAAATCGTCGTGTGTATTATACTATACTTCCGACTACGAGCTACTATACGAGCTACTATACGAGCTAAAAAGTATATATTAATTCAGCATTTGTACAACCTAAAATGTTTCACAGGTTCTTAAAATTCGCAGAATTCTGTAGCGTGAAAAATGCGTACGTAGTTCAAATATTTGCTACTCAGAATGCTGTAACTCATTTCATAATAATGCACTCTGTTAATATATTCCACAGGTTAGTTAAAACGTTACTCACGCTAACCTTCCACATATTGTGGAGATTTTAGTAATGGCAAATTACTTCTAAACTGTTATATGAAATATATCACTTGAAGTTTCAGCTGCAATTCATGCTGCTAGATGTAAACGTATTTGTTAAAATCAACTTGAAAAGTCGATTGCAATGTCATATTTCTCCCACTCTTTGCTGGCGATTCCAATATTTTATTCTTTAGCTCATTTTGTGTGAACCCACAAGAGACGAGCCACCACCTCATTTCTCATGGTAAAAGCTTCCAGTTTCTAAAAGTCACATTGTCAAGTGGGAAATCAATGTCTTGTGAATCTCAGGAATATTTGGGAAGGTCGCTTTAAGCACATTAATAATTTCCCCGTAAGAATGCCTTTTCCTTAAGTAACGCTGAATCATATTAATTCGTTCTGCTTGGAAAACTGTATAGCCATCTTACAGCAAACAAAAAGTTTTTAAAAGCTAACAGTATAAATTTCAATTAAAATTCCATACAATATACTGTTTACAGGAGTATCATCTGTGGAAACAACTTGCCATAAATATCCATTTAAGAGTTTCTGCAATCTTTGAAAATTTGATGTGTGCGACTTTTGGATCATCTGTATATATAGTATGTATCAATTTATATATGAAAACCATGAACAAGTGTTCTTAAGCAACTAGACTTCAGCTCTCAAAGGAATAATTAGACCCAAAAGCATTCTGAATAAGAAGCGTGTAACAATAAGAACTCAGCTGGAGCTTCTGAGAGGATAACCTGTATGTGTATGTGTGTATGATTATAGCTGCTCAGCATCGATAAATAAATGGTGTCTATGTCTGCTACCATTTACTTAAATTCCATTATAGGTTAAAATTGCATGGCTGATTCCGAATATAAATCATTAAATAAATCAAGAAGCAAACGCGTATGGGGCAGTCAAATATGAGAAAAATGGCAGAAAACTATGCTACAATACATAATTATTCAGAGTAATGTGTGTTTGTTATTGATTTCTAAATAGAGATTTCATATATCATAACCATATGCAGGATATCATCTGTGTATGATAGAAAAGAATATATGACTGTGTAGTAGGTAAAGAATCTATTTAAAGTGTTATTAATTAATATAATATAGTTAACACTATTATAATTAGCTAGTGGTCCTTTTTAACTTCCAGTATCAAGCAATTTAATTTTGCTTTACAAAGCTCTATTAAAAATTTTAAATCATATTGGTGACCTATAAATTTGTCATAATGACCGTAAACCTGTAGCTCAGATATCACCTTTGATAGAAATAATACTTTTTCATTTCAATATTTGTTAAAATTTGCTTTGTTGTTCTGCTGCACTGATATAGTTAATTACCAGTGACACTCAGTCTGACCAACATTTTTGCTCTTTGCAGATGAAGTAGTGTTGAATTTTAAATTAAGATTCTGTATACGGTCAGTGCACTGGTCCAACCGACTGATTCAATTGTTGACCGTAAAACACTATCCGGCTTGTAGGTAACCAATGACTAATGTCCTTGACGGTTATCTTCGGTTTGATTTTCATTTAATAAGCTACCTAAAAGATAGTTAAATACACATAATTTAAAATGAATGCAACAGCAGTTTTTATTATTTTTGGAGCATAGTTTTTATTAATAAGAGATGTTTTAATGTCATATAACCTTTGCCTGATGCAGAATACGTAATGTTTAAAATATTCTTAATTCTCGTATTAATTTTTTTACTATCCCTTTGCAACTTTTCTTTCTAATAGAGCTTAATTTGATTTATCGTTTTGCTAAGTAACTGAAATAAATTTCATATTTTTTTTTGTTCATTGAATGATTTTTTTTTCCCAGAAGAACTTAGGAATACAACCAGAATCTATACATATTATTGGACACAGTTTGGGATCCCATATTGCCGGCTACGCTGGTAAAAGACTCAAACGCTTAGGCAGAATTACAGGTGAGTTCTTCAAATCTCATGGACTTCAAATACAGTGGAGGAAGGGTGTTCATAATTTAATCGTCGGATAACAAAATTAAATTGAAACATAATTTTACGAAGTAACTGTGAATAATTTAGATCTATATAATCTTTAGTTCAAGAAATTTCATTTGTTTTAGTTTTTCTGAATGGCAACAGAGAACTTGTTTATTTACAGACAAAATGGCGTCATATGGTGAAAAAATAATGTGCACTCTCTGGTACGAAATCTCCAAAAAATACAACAGAAGCGGTTCGGACTTGAATCTAATAAACCTCTACCAATGGAACAATCATTTAAAAGATGATTAGAACAAAATTCATAAATTACGACACACCGGACATAATCTGCATAAAGGACAAACAGAAATTCCCAGCTCCAGTGTTCATAAATTATTCATGAATGCTTTAAACTGACAGCGTATAAATTGCAGATTTGTCAACAATCTGCAATTTAATGATCGAGTAGTTTGTAAGGAATTTTCCATAGACATTCTTGGCCGTATCAGTAATGACGATAAATTTCTTCTGAAAATTGTACCCCTGTCATTGGGCTACACATGTGCATGATTTCCTTGAAGAAACACTTCTATATCGTTGAATTGGTAGAGATAGACCAATTCTATAGCCACCCTGTTCTCCAGACATCACATCACTCGATTTTGTATTCTGGGGATACTTGAAGAGTCAGGTTTATGCTGCATATATTCGCAGCATCTATGAATTAAAATCAACACAAAAGCAACTAACAAATGCTTCATCAAGGGAGGGAAATCGAGAATATTCTCTGTGTAATGGTGCCCGAGTAATGGTTCTCTTAATGGTGCTCATGTTGAAGTGTATTAATATAAAATTCTTTGAAGTGCTGAATAAATTTAGTCAGTCTTTTTTTTTCATATTCCTTTTTCTGTATTATTAAAAACATATCTTTACCTGGTTAATAAATTTTGGACACCTTGTATATATATATGAAACAGAATACCTGCAACTGAGTTTAACGATACTGGATTCTTGGTCAATAGTTATTAGTGTCTTCTTTCAAACTAAAATAATTCGAATTTATTATAGTTCATGAAATGCAATGTGAAAATGCAATGCAGCTAATTAAGTCAGATTGTAGGCCTGTTCTTGAAACTTAATGCAAAAATTTCCTTTCGTAAATGCTGCGTAAATTCTGGAATTAATTTGACTGTAACTAAAACGCAATGCTATTTTTCCTTGCAACTTTTCACAATCTCGATCTGCAATATTCAAGAAATAAAAATCATTCTGTGAATTTACGTTACTTATAAATTTATATACTCATTGTAATAAAAGCATCAAAATTAATTTGAAAAAATTGTAATAAAATTGTGTATTATTATTTGATGCATTAATTACAGTATTGCGTTCTTTAAAACCTATTGCAAGGAATTTGCTATGATCACTAAAATATTTCCTGATGTTCTGTGCGTGCAATGGAACATATTTATCATTCATCAATGCTATTTTAAAAAATATATTAAAATCTATTTCCAAGAACTGCTTTCTATGGATGTTAACTAATAAATTATTTGCAATAAATTACTGAGCTTTAATTGTTGCAAAATTCGGTTAATTCTCGCATGCGTTACAGAATGTGCTTTTCTATTTACTGTTATCAAGCTGTTGTACCAGTTGATGGTAATTAAACTCCTAAATTTGAAAAAATTGGAGCTAAATCTGAATTGATGAAATGTAGTAACGTGGCTACATTATACTAAGTAATGCCGATGACAGAGCCTCTAAATTTGAATTTAGTAGTATCTCCCAAAATAAAAGAGTTACGCGGAAAATGTGCATTAAATGAATAAGAATGTTTCACGGCTTCACCAAGGGAGGAAGAAATGACATTTTGAAGAAATAACTACTCTAAACAAAGGTTGTAAGTTTTTTTTAAATATTTTTAAATATAAGGAATAAAAGAGATATGTCGTACTGAACTGACCTATAATTCAGATATAGAGTAAAAATCCTAACTGACAGTCATGATCTTCCATTAATCCTTAGAACCCAAAGACACATCAGGATACTTAAAAGTTGCAAAAAGGAGTGTAAAAGAGTTTATAAACTATGGAAAGCAATACGATATTCGCTTAATTTAGCATGAATAAATCTAGTTACCCAGGAAGTGGTATGATAGATTGTTTTACATTGCAGCTATATTGAGACAGTAGAATCCAGCCAACATCAATCTTCAGATTAGAAGAGAAACCCATCAATGCAAAATTTATATTTTGAATACAGATCTATCAATTTTGAGGGATAACGGATATAAGTCCCTCTTCTTAAGGGACATAAACATCTTTGCTGCTGATGAAAAGAGACCTGAGTCTGATCTCCTTAGATAGAATTTTATTCAAAATCTTGTCCAAATTAAAGTTACTTATTTGTTTGATTTCGAACCTCGGTCTTGTAAATAGGAAGATGTAACATTCACTCGGAATCGTTCACTGAAGGACTCAACAACGTTGAGTTCCTGGTAAGAGACAACGTGACTAAAATGTAAATACAGTTTGAACCATGTGAGTGTGAAAAGAATCCCAACGCGAAAGTTCTGAATGTTAATTGCACTATAAACAACAACATTCCTTGTCTGATGCCCAAAATATTATCGAGAGTCACATGTGATTCCTTGACAGATCTTGTAATTTAAATGTTGAACCATTTGCATCGTTTAAGGAAACTATTTTAAATTGTTCTTCGCGTATTAAATGTTGCACAAGTAGATATTTGGTGAACAAGGAACACTATTGTTGCGTGCGTACGGGTTCGTTATGAAATGAATGCACAAGTCCGATGAAAAATGAACAAAAATTTATTATTATCACAACAAAAATGCTTAAATTTTCTCAAATTATCATGCAGTATTACAATATCTCACAGTAGTTATCTTTTAACTACTCAAATATCCAATAGAACGTAATTCAAAACAGCTAAAGAACGCTAATCCGCGAATTCGCTACAATCAACAAGAGCAGTTTTCTAAACAACAACAAACTAAGCAAGCAACTACTAACTGAGATGTTTTCCTCCTTTTATAAGATTTTAAAATCACGCGCTAGAATTTTCCAGTACTTTCTCGAAATCAAAAAGAGATATTTATTTATTTAACGCACGCGCTCTTGTATTTTTAATTTTTCCGGCTTAGCTTTCTTTTAATATTCGTCACGCGCTGCACTGCGCGAGAAATAAAACCATTTAATTTATAATTGAACTAACATTAGCTTTTTAAATACCAAATTCGTAACACTATGATGAACAAGGAATAGGAGATTCACGTATCACTACTCGAACACTTAAGGAAGAATTTCAGGCAGCCAGTTCATGAATTACTTTTACCGCAATCAGATACCTTCTCTTTGCTTCTTGCTTTCAGAGGTTACATGGTTTGAAATTCATCGTATTATTTTTTTTTTCTTCATATTGATACTTCACGTGACATTTGGACACTTCACGTGGATAACAATAATGGCTTTGACTCCATTTCTGAACATCAGGTGTTTACTTACCTGAAAGCAAGATGCATAGTGCAGAATTGTTTCGCAAACTAAATCTTTATTTTCTATAGAAAAAATATTTCGTTCCCTAATTTTCGCAAGATGCATCCTCAGAAAAACCATCTGTTTGTGAAAATTTGAGTTACGTTCTTTTTCTTTGCCAGTCTCTTCCCTATAATTTAAACTTCATATATATACCAAGTTTCATAAATATCTGTAATTGTAAAGTACTCCCGAAGTTTCAAGCTAGAGTCAGTATAATTGCAACATAATTCATTATTTATGTGATTTACATTTTTTCCCGCTAGCTATGGATCCAGCTGGTCCTTACTTTACAAACGTGGATCCCATAGTACGACTGGACAGAGCAGATGCTTTGCTGGTAGATGCAATACACACAAATGCTGCAGCTACCCGGTTCCAAGGTAAGAAAATTGTTATTACATTATAAACTTGAAACTATATCATATATTTTTAAGTTAAAGTCTAATTTTTAAAATTCTAAATACAGTATTATGTTGAGATGATACTATAACTATGAAACTGAATACTCACAACTGTGCCACTACGAATATTTAAAATATTATATTTTATTCTCAGCCATAAAAATAAATGAATTAGTTATTCCTCATGTGTATTAAATAATGTATTTTAATCGTTTTAACACATTACGTGATTATATGCTCAAGCAATACTTTATTTGTAGGGCATCACGTTTGTTAATCCGTAAACTTGTTATTTTTTTTATCTTTACTTTTATTTTTACTTTGTACAAATAAAAGTAAATATAAAAGTAATAACTCCTTTTTTCGAGGATAAAAGTTAGTTAACGTATATAAGAACAGAGTTCTTGAAGATAACACAGTATTTCTGACAGCAACTCATCTCCGAACTATTTTCGCACAGCTTCTAGATTTTCATTAATTGAACTTTAGCTTTATCTAGCAGTGTTTGTTCAAGTGACTTCAGGGCCGAACAGGCCAAACCTTACAGGTTCGTGATTCGAGGTCTGAATCTTACAGAGGACTTTGCCTTGTACACTGGTACTGTTACGAAAAACCCAGCTGCGGTAAGATAGCTTCCCCGCTAAGCAAGTTCAGGGCGGCCAGATTTGGCGCGAAATCGCCCATTTGGCAACATTTTGCGACAAAACTGGCGGTATGCCATACATTCGCGTAATATTCTAGATTCTAGAAAGCATTCTTGGCGGTTTTGCTTAGGAATATTCTCGAAGGTAGAATAAAGTTATATATACCCTGCCTGTACGTGGAGGAGAGTATCTTCAGTAGTATGTTGAGTTCAGTAGTAATGTGTTGAGTTCAGATATTAACTCGAGCGCGATCGGCCGAATTGGAAGCTTTGCCGTGAAGCTGTCTTCACCGTTATAGCCTGATAGCCTGAAGGCTGTTTTACTGATTGTTTCAGCGTGTTTGTCGTAATTTTTTTATGACTGTAACGCGTCTTTGGAACTGTCATGTGAAATACTGAAGAATAAATTGTGTTTTGATTCTTCATTACGTGTCATCAGACACTCCACATCCATAGAACGCAACAGTACTTTCATTGTTTAAGTTTATCTTAAGCTGAGTGTTTTGTCTCCAAAAGAAGCGGATACTTGTTCTGTTACTTCACGAGCGGTGTAATTTTATTAAACTGAAAAACTAAAAAAGGTTTATTTTAAACTCTGTTCTGAATTCTATGTTATTTCACCAGAAGTATAAAACGGGATGATAGGTTGTATTCTTGTCTACATGGAGCGATAGGTAAGCACTGAATTAGTTTGTTTCCGTATACGTTTATTTTATTAAATATTCTTATAAATTTCTTTTTCACATAGCAGATCGAAATGAAGTTTCATAGAATAACAAACTTTAATCTATCAAAGTAAGAAATATATTAAGAAACGAAAGTATAGAGTTTATCGTTGTAAAACTCAGCAATTTGTGCATCATCTTCAAGTGAGAATTAACGTTTGATTGGAAACACATAAAACGTTTCTCTGTCCGAGACCGATACCTCCCGGAAAGTAGAAAATAAAGAAAGAATTGGTTAATAATGCGATAAGTACTTCCGGACAGGCTTTCTTTACGTTTGTACTCAAAAGTGCATTTTAAAGAGTGTGTCATAATGATGATGCAAGAAGCGGTGCGTATTTTGGTGCGTTTACTAAGGATATATTATCTAGTTAGGATGATACGAGTATACATTATCAGAATGTACATATTCAGGAAATTTCACCTAAAAGCATTACCAGAATATTAATATTTTCTGCATGCATTTTGAGAAAGTATATATTATGTAATTTAGAAAAGGAGAAAATATCACCAAGACTGCATACTTCTGCATAATAGATTATATAATATAAGGTATTCATAAGTCTGTACCTGAAAATATTAAAATAAAAATGTATAAAAATAACTTGTATTTGCAAGTACAATTTCAAGTTACTTTTATACAGCTTATTGTTAGTTGAAGTTACTTGTATACGAAATGTACTTCGAAATATTTTAATCAAAATTGTATTAGAATATTCCGAAGATTATCTCAGTTGCTATGTAAAGTTAAACTTTGTTTATAAGGAATTATTGCCTTCTCCCATCTATACTGTTTTAAATGGTAATACATCCCTCTAAGAATCGAAAAAGACACTGTTCGAATCCCGAAGAAAGGCATTGCTGGTTTCTCTCGTTTCCTGATCCAAAAAACATTATATATCACTACAATGGCAGTTGAACTGAAATATGATGAATAATACTTCTGGACGTGAATTTTATACACTGGTTCTCTTGCTTTTTCTTGGTCGGTAAAAACGGACATAAGAACTTATCACATTTCTTTGTATACGCTGTCGAGTTGCACGTTGTGTAATACGGCCAACTAACAACTGAAAGGCCCGTGGCTTAAATCTTTATGAGGTTTTTGTTGATTTCCTAGTCTAAATAACCTAACAGATTTTACGTGTTTAAAGAAACATTTAAAAATTAAGTAGTAATGGAACATTTACGTAAGAATTTTAAAAAAGAGCTAGAAACCTCATTAACATTGGTTGGAATGACATTTAAGAAATACAAGACACACTTATCCTTAAATATATTCTTTGCAAAGTAAAGAAAAATTCTGAGATTTGCTATGCTGATAAGAAAAATCTGTTCGCTTTGTATTCTTCCTGTTATAATACTGTTGCAAAATGCCCAGCTGCAGTGAGACAGCTTTCCTGCAAAGCGAGATTAGGGTTTCCAGAAAGTGGGAGGAAAAGGCAGGCTTGCCAGATTTGGCACGAAATCGTCCGTTTGGCGATATTTGACGGTAGAATTGGGGACATGTTACAGATGGAGCGAGAACATTCTACAGCGCATTCTTAGCGCTATTCTCGGGAATATTCTCGAAGGTAGATTAAAGCTATATACACCGTGCCGGTCCTGGGGACAGTAGTAGCAGTGATTTGAGTTCAGAGCATAGCTTGAGAGCGATGGGCCGAGTAGGTAACTGTACTTTAGTGGTTTGCCGTGAAGCTGTCTTCACCGTTATAGCCTGATAGCCTGAAGGCTGTGTTGCTGATTTTTTCAGAGTGTTTGTGGTAATTTTTCGATGATAGTAACTCGTCTTTGGAATTGTCCTGTGTAATACTGAAGAATTAATTGTGTTTTGATTCTTCATCAACTATTACCATCAATTACTCAAAATATACGAACCCGTAGAACGCAACGTAGAACTTATTTTTCTAAGCACAGATTATTTATTAATTGTTGTATTAATTATTAATATCGTTTTAAACTTTGACGCTTATTATTTATCAGAATTTAGTTTATTTCTTATAGTGTCGTGAAGTATCAGGTACAGGATAGCAAGGTAAATTTGCGCGCGCTTAACAAATAAGCAAATCATGTGAATAATGAAACTAATCGTAATCAAATAGCTTTGTTTACATTTTTATTTCTAACAGTAAGATCTCTTGGACGCAGCTTAATATAAATATCATTAAAAACCGATTTGTGACTTTAATAATTTGTAACGATTATTTATTGTAATTTAATCATTAAAATTCTAAAGAAAACTTTTAATACATATCCTGTGACTATATGCAATATACAAATAGAAAACTAAAAAAATTAGTTTGAATTAAATTAAGATAAGAGAACATGCACTGCTTAAGTAAAGGCAGTATTCAAAGCATGCGTGCTTTTTTAATAAATTAATAAATCCAGATTCTAATTAATTGATTAAGATATCCGGTATTCAAATCTTCCTTTACTTGATTTTATAAATTGAAACTAATGGCGCGCTTTTATAGAAATACTACATCATGTGAAATTGTGTACAGTTTTCAACTTTCATGCAAAATTTAACTTTTAGGCTTTGGTCTTACCGAAAGCATTGGTCATTTTGATTTCTTCCCGAACGGTGGACATCTACAACCAGGTTGCCAAGATATGGGACATGCTATATTATCTTTCATCACGAAGCATCCTACTTTTGGTAAGTAATTTAGAGGCAATTCTCTTCAGGTAAAAAATGTATACATGTATTAAGTTTATATAAGCAGGAAGAGATCAGAAAAACTTGTATTTAGAGCCTAAATTCTGATGAAATTTTTATATTGGTAAAGGTACTGTAAGAAACGGCATTTCATATTTGCACCTTAAAATCGATTATGATTTTAACTTTCGTAACTAACAAATTAATCTGAAGTGTTTCTAAAAATTCAGAAAAAGTTGAAATCCAAATGTATTTAAAAGCAATTTCGATGAGTAAAATAAATATAATATACAATAATTATTCTAAAGGTATTCACCAATATATTAAAAGTATTCTTAGATATTTATGATAATATTATTAGTCAATCATTAGACCCAACTAAATTTTCTAAAGATAATTCAAATAAGATAATTTCTTCTCTTATCCACTTAAGCATTAGCCTTTCATTACCTATCACTTTTCGTTTTCCAATTACAAAGTCATTCGATATCACTTCGGAAAACGACGGATGTCTTTAATCCGTAAAATGTTGTTTTTCCTCTAAAATCAAGAAATTTGTATTGTATAACTAAAGTTTTTATCGTTTTACAGGTCTTCAGTAGCAAACCTGAAGCTTAATTTTGCTCTATTTCCATAATTTAGAGGAAATAAAAATTATACGATTTAACGGTGTAAATTAAATTTATAATTTTAAACAAAAACAAAAATTAAAGGTATGTAGTAAGTCTTTTAAAGGGCTATAGCTCTTAAATACAATGCATAAAACTTACATTTGAAATCTGAGAATTTTCAGCAGTATACACTTATGCTTACATAATATAGGTAATAAGCTTTTGCAAAATTTGCATACATGTTTTTATAGGTGCACATCAGAGTTATGGCAGATGCGTATATACAACTAGTCAAATTCAAGTTCTGTTTATCTTAATGTATATATAAAATTATTCAAATTCAAGTTCAGTTTACCTATAGTGTATATAAAATTATTCAGATTCAAACTTAGATTGATATTTACTTCAGTTATTTCTTAATCAGTGAGTACAATTTATTCAACAATCTATGACAAATGTTAAGGCTTTTTCTGTGTTATGGTAACAATAATTTTAAATAAAATATTTTGATATAACTTTCTTTATTTGAAATGTTCTAGACTCCTGATATCTTAAATTATTTGTCCTGTCTAAAAACATTATAGTTTAATTACACCAAAAAAGGCGCTCAACAAATTTTGCATACTGCTAGTTTCTATTCCACTAATAACCATTTACTTTTTTATGTTATCTTGAAGGTTAAAAAGAATTTTTCAGGAATTTTATCATTTATTTAATACTGAAATGAAACGCAAATGTACAAATCCTTGTCAAGGGCAAGGTACTACGAGGTTTACTCTTGTAAGGTCTTATTCTTAGTCTGCTCAAAAGCATCTTCTTTCGTTCATCTTCATTTTTCCCACTTGTAAGTGAAGTACGTGTTGCAAAGACCCTAACGTTGTTTGGCTAGTAACCTTCGTCAAGGGCATTTTCTCCAAAAATTCAAATGTTGTTGGAGACGCAGTAACTCTCCAACTAAAGGTAACTAAAGGCACTAAATATTACTGTCCTTCTGGCCTGTGCTGGTAACTCATCTCACAAGAACACAAACCAAACATTACTTTTCTGCAATTACCAGTATTTATTACAATATTTAATATAGTTTCCATCTTGAATATTTTAATAGACACGGCATCAGCCACACCGAATGCTGTGCCTGTGGAGAAAGTGGTACCCCAAGCCATTATCCCATCATTTGCCCACTAATCAAAGAACACCATCTTAAAATACCCCGTAACACTACACAAGCCTTCTGCGAGTTTATGGTAAAACAACGTCATCTGGAGGCAAGGATGAATGCTCAGATTATTGAAAAGTTTGCAAAACTCGTATCCGATTTATGCCCCGTTATACAATTTTTTTGATTATTTAATCCTTCCTTTTTGAGGTTTTGGGGGGAATTAATAGGTAGAGCGCCTAGAGTAAGAATTTAATATTCACTCAGTTTGTTTCTAGAAATTCAATTCTCTGTACTACTGTTATGTTTGGATGTACCGCAATATACATTTGTAAATTTCTGTAAAGTCTGTAAACTGGTGTCTTTGTAAAGTACATTTGTAAAATGTACTATTGTAATGTATATTCTGCTGCAAAGTAATTTGAGTATCTGAAATAATGTAATAATTATGTAATTAAGTCCCGAGCTACAACGGCAACAATGTCTTACAATGTTATTTGATGTACACTGTGAAAAAAAAGGCCAGTTCTACTGGACCGATTGACAAAATTAAGCTGGCGTTTTCCACGTATAGAACGAGCGATTTAGGATATGTATTAGATTTATATATAGCATTGTTTTAACCTTTAACTACTGTGACTTAAATTGTCGCATAACTACTGTGAGCGGTTTCTCAGACCGCTTCTGCTAAAAACAAAATAAGATATTGTTTTACTTTTCTTATTCGAATAAATGTTATGTAATTTCAAATATTTGACTTTTTATGAAGATATAAAGCAATTTTTATACTTAAATTAGTTCATTAAAATGAAATATATACTATGCATAATAATTCCTTCATTTAATTTTCTTTGTTTACGTATCTTAATGGTAGAGGGGAATTTTAAAATTCAACTTTTTTATTTTACATTAAAATTTGCGATAAGAATGCTTTAATAAGAATATAGAAAATTACTTTTTACTTTAAAATTATAATTCGAGCTGCATTTTATACATACTTTTCTACTGCATTGTAGACACACTGGTTCTTAGCATGCTATATACATTTGTAAACTAGTTTTCTTTTTTTCGCTCGATGGACAGATATAGTGTGCTCTTTTTTTTATCTAATTTATCATCTTTGATCACAATGTTTCCTTCATCATGATTTATTCTGAAAATGCTTCTTATTGTAAGTTTGAGTTCTTTAAGTAAAAATGATGAGGTTATCCTCCGTTTTACATGAGACTGCACCAACTGATTTGCTAATGAAATCATGAAATCTTTTCGTTTCATTTTCGGAGCTATTGGATAAGATTGAAATAATACGAATGCATTTATTGCACAGATATCCAAGATTCTGAAGAATATTGTCATAGGCCAACGTCGGGTTCGACAAGTAGTTGAATAGATTGAACATTTCTTGTCAAATTCATCCACACCACCTTTGGTCAAGTTGTACATGGCTATGATTTCAGGTTTTCCTGAAGATTCATCGTTTTCACAAGAATGGTGCATTGATGATATTAAAATAACAGCTTTTCTTTCTTTTGGTACATATGAAATAAGTGTCATGTCTTTCGTAAAACCATACAGAGAACTACCCATTTTTCTTGACTTATTGGCTTGAAATTCCTTAGGGATTTCCTTTCTATCTCTTTTCAGAGTTAAAAAATGTAAGTCCTTTTTCTTCCAAGATTTTTACAAGTTCAATGGATGAAAACCGCTGTAATGTTTCTATTAGTTTTTTTTTATTGGTTCCACGAGGTGAAGAACTGCCTGTGTCGGTTTCTTCAATTGCTTTTCATCTTCAGACAGCGCTTCTCCATCTGAATCTTTTCCACAGTAGATATATGCATTATACAGGTAGTTATTTCTTACATCACAAAGGCACATAATTTTTATGCCATATTTGGCGGGTTTTTTGGCATGTACATTTTATATTTACATCGTCCTCTAAATTTCACTAACATCTCATCAATACAGGCGTATTCTCCAATGGAATAAGTTCTTTGACAATTCTTTATGACTGTATTGAATATTTCTGAAATGGCTGCTGTTTTATCATTTGCCATACGTTGCTTTCTTATCTCATGATTATCAAATCGTAAAGAATAGAGTAAAAACAAAAACCTTACTTTGGTCCTAACGCATCGAAATATTTCACGCCCTGTACCATCTGTTGGAAATAAACTATCAGTATCTTCGAGATTTGATTTGAATACTGCTGAATATAGTAAAAGTCCGAAAAATGCCTTGATTTCAGTTTCATCAGTATCGATTAGTTCATGTCTTTTAGAATCAGAATATTTCATTCTGATTTCATTAATTTTGACATTATTCCATTTTACAATAATTCTTAAAATACTTTCATCAAAAAGTAAATTCCAAGCTCCTTCAGGGTCGGCTTTAGGACCTATTCTTGCAGCACTTTTCAAACCTGGTAAATGAAAAATAATATTGTGACTACGAGTTCGAACAGCCTTGTTAGGCTCTTGAATAGACTATTTGAATTCATTTTTTCCAATAAAAAAATCGCTTGTAGAAGGAGAACATGGATTTTCATTTTCATCGGCAGATATTTCTGAAATTGTATCGTGCTCGCTTTCAATAATTTCATCATGAAAACTTTCATCAGAGAACTCTAAATCAGACCAATTTCGAACAATTTCTTCAATTTGGTCTTGGGTTAGATATTTAGAAAGTTTCCTGCACGAAGCATTTGAAGCCATTTCAAGAATATTTATAAAAAAAGCGAAATAAGTAACAACAACGAAAAATAAACTTTATCGGCCGAAATTTGAATCGCATCTGCTGTGATCGGTCCCACAGACCGCTGAGAAGGAAAAAATTAAATTAAAATAAAAAGAAATAGAGCTAGACAAATGGCACTTGGTATGTGACCTTGGACAACTGTTTTAGGAAGGTACTAGGAAGGGCAATGCCCATTAATTATTCTAAGGGGTGGAAACATTTAATGGAAAATGGCACGCGGTCTGAGAGACCGCGCACAGCAGTTAAAGGTTAATAGAGGTATTTTGACACAAAAGTCGCATATTTTGACAAAAAATCGTACTTTTTCTCAAATGACATGCCAAATTTTTCCATAGTTCGACTTTACGACTCAAACTATGCCAAACTGCCAAGTTTTGTGAAAATCACATGAGTAGTTTTTAAAACATTAGCTCTCAAAGTTTTAGCTCCTCAATGTTGATTGAATTCAATATATATTTATTAATATATATTCTTTTATT